CTGCGCCACTGCAGCCAGGGCCTTCACCCCTCGTGATGCCAGCTTGTCAAAACAATCCCCACCTGGGAGCTCCCGCCTAGCAGCCAACCCGAGATAGACAGTGGCCTCCAGAGAGAATGGCCCAGCCAGGGGGTGCCCAGCTTCATCTCCCAGGTTGAGTCTGATGTCCCCAAGGTCAGAGGCCAGCTGAGAAGCTGCAGTCCTGCATGCTGGCCCTCACCTGGGCCTCAAAGCTGGGACTGCCTAGGCCATTCACTCTCCATATGCCCAGTGCCTGGTGAATCTTCAAAGCTGCAGATCGTGCTTTGCTCAGCAAGTTGCTTGGGAAAGTTGAGCCCCCTGGCCCTTTGTTCCAGGGAGGGCAGGGACTGGCCCAGGATCACATAGGCTGGTGGCAGGCCGGGCTCTCGGCAGTACCCACTTCGGGCTGCCTACTTCCTTGGCCCCAGGGGCCCGGCAGTCCAAATCTAGGGCCAGGAATCTGTCCAACCTCATGGCTCCAACACACACAGCCTCCAGGGTGACTGAGGACACTGCCTCTTCCTGCAGCCAGGGCCACTCAGCAGGCCCCTGCCAGAGCGGGTGGGCACCTAGCCGTGGATAACACAGAAAGCCTGTGGGCAGCCCAGGTGGTCCGGGATGCCATAGGACACCTTCCAGACTAGGTGGGAGTGTGGTTTTTCATTGTCCCAGGGGCACCTGGGGAAAAGGGCATTAGGTCAGAAACAGGGCTCAGTGGGGCCCCCTGCCAGGCTGCCCTCCCTCCCCTCCCTCCTCCCCTTGCCGTTGAAGCAGCAGGCCTCCCCCTGGGCTTGGGGCCGTGACCCTGGTTCTCGTGCTGCTGGGAAGCTCTAGCTCCCACCTGGAAGGTCTGAGGAGCCAGGCCCTGGTACATCCACGAGGAACCGGAGGGCAGAAGTCCAGATAGAGTGGGAGTTCCAGCCAGGCCCCACCCAGCCCTAGGAAGGAAGGAAGGAAGGAAGGAGGGAAGGAGGGAGGGAGGGAGGGAGGGAGGGAGGGAGGAGCCCTGACCCGTGGTTCCATCAGTGAATTCTGGCAACATCAGAGTCCAAGCCCAGGGTTGGTGGGAGGTGCTGGGGCAGGAGGGGACTCCAAAGGAAGAGTGCTCCCTGTCACCTAGCCTTGGCCTTCCCCCTCCCCAAGGGCCTCCCTGCCTGCACTCACCACCTCAGACTTCCACAGATGCAGGCAGCATCACCCGCTGGTTGAGCCTAGGGGAGAGACAGGTGGGGGTCAGGATGGTGCGTCAGGGGCTGGGCCCGGGCACTGCTCTGGCACATCGCGTCGTGGGGGCCAGCTGACTGGAGGTGCTGGGCAGGGACTTCATCAGCCCAAGGGGGAGGTGGGAGAGCCCAGGGGTGGGGAGAGGAGTAAAGAGGAAAGGAGGAAAGCAGTCAGAAGGTGAGAGGAAAAGGAAGGGGGAGGGGTCCCAGCTTTGGAAACCACCAAGTCCAAGCTGGACCCACCAGACATCCCTGTGGCCCCGCACAGCTCCAGGCTGATGCTGGCACTGAGCCCCACAGGTGTGGGAGGCCCAGGGATTGGACCCCAGCAACCAGGTCACCCCCTGGGTGCACCCAGGTCTCCCCTCCACCACCCCCTAGCAGGGCTCCCCAGCAGGCCTCCCCTCATCCCCACTCACTGCTGCTCAGCCTTGGCACAGTTGCTGAGGAAGAAGAGCACCATGGCGAGGAAGAACATGACCCCCAGGATGACGACAAAGGGGCAGAGCATGACCGCATAGCCCAGGCTCAAGGAACTCCCAGAGCAGGGAGTCCTTGGTGCTCTGGCAGATCAGGTCTGAGATCTGTGAGGATGTGGGGGTGGGTGTCAGGGCACAGCCCCCCAAAACCCTCAGCCTCCCAGGCCAGCCCCCTCCCAGGGTGACTCACAAAGCTGATGAGGTAGGAACTCCTGGCATCCCCCGGCAGGTGGGAGGTGAAGCTCTGCAAGACCACAACCGTGGCATGCCAGGTGGGCATGACCACGTACTGTGGGATAGGTGGGCAGGTCATCAGCCCAAGGAGCCGGGCCCAGCCCAGCGCCTGGCACCTCCGAAGCCCCACACCCTCAGACTCAGTCCTCTCTCCCCTGGACCCTTCCCTCCTCCCCGCCAGCCTGGCCGCTTTTTCCCACCAGGCACCCCTTTCCTCCCTGAGCCCCTCCACCCACACACAGCTTCAGTCAGCCCCAGGGGCTTCCCACGTCCAGCCCAGACCAGTGCCACCTGCCCCAGATCGAAAGCGTCATTGGCCTCAAACCTGCTGTGCCCCTTGAAACGCCCCTCAGAAATGGGAATCTTCACCTCCCTCCCAGCTACTTGCAGCAAAGGGAAGGTAATTTGGGGGCTGCCCAGCTGCCAGTCACTAGAGGCCATTAGCCCAGAGCCCTCTGAGCCTCGCAGGACCCCAGCCATCAGAAATGGCCATGCCGCCACCTTTCCTGCTCAGCTCTCACTGTTCCTGAGATCAGGCTGCCGTGGCTTCTGCCCTTGGCCCATGGTCACGGGGACACTGAGGTCCAGAGAGGTACATGTTCCAGGGGAACCTGAACCCCAACTTGGGCCATTTGTCCTCACTCCCATCAAGCTAAAGACCCATCTTGGTTCCCCTCCCTGAGGACCAAGTAAGGCCTGACGCCTGGAAAGGGAGCTGGTGAGGCAGGCACCTGCCTGGAGGAGCCTCTGCTCACACCTATGGGCACCTCAGCACTGAATGCCAGGTACTGCTGGGCCCCAGGCCCCCATAAGACCAAGCAGGCCTGAGCCTGAGCCACAGGAGGCGCACTTCAAAGCTGGGCAGGCCAGAGTCAGGAGGGGCTGGGGTGGGGGCGGGACAGGCACGGTCAGCTTTGTGGGTGCCCTGAGCCCCTGTGCCCTGAGCTCCAGCTGCCTCACCTTTTCGGAGTGCCAACCTTAGTGGGCATCAGCAGCCAGCACCCATGGGCACCCCATTGCAGGAGAGGTGGGGGCGGGTGGAAAAAGGCCTGAATCTGGCCAGAGTGGCCTCGTTTCCAGCAGGAGTAAACTGACACTGATTAAACTGGGACACAATTCTCCTGGGACCCTGACCCTGCTGGCAGCTGTCAGGGGCTCCCATGGGGTGGTGGAGGAGGGGTCCTGACCAGCACCAAGGGCACTTCATTGCAGGAGAGGTGGGGGCGGGTGGAAAAAGGCCTGAATCTGGCCAGAGTGGCCTCGTTTCCAGCAGGAGTAAACTGACATGATTAAACTGGGACACAATTCTCCTGGGACCCTGACCCTGCTGGCAGCTGTCAGGGGCTCCCATGGGGGTGGTGGAGGAGGGGTCCTGACCAGCACCAAGGGCACTTGATCTGCACAGACTCACTCCTCCCTTCATGCTGGGCCTGGACGGGGACCACAGCCCATCCCTGCCACTGCCTGGCTCTTGTGCTGAGGCTCAAAGCTGCATCAGACCTCC